GCAGCGGTGCACGTCGCTGGATTACTGTATTCACGGCGCTACGATCCGATACGGTGTCACGTAGCGTTTGGCGACGACGCTGACGACGGTGATACGGTGGTGATAAATGGTCATCAATTATTTTTATTGCCCACCGTGCCGTGGGTGATGGTTGCAGCGGCGGAGGGTGGCGCCAGGCTGTCGTCGTCGCTGCAAACCGTGACCATCGTCGTCATGCTGCATGTCTGCGTATCTCTGTCTCTTCCATTCCGGCATGTACAGCACTGGGTCAGTCCGGTCAGGCCAGTTTCTGCGTTGACTTCGACGACGACGACGACGTCGATGACAAACATGGGTTACGGTGGACAGACCGACAAATAGTAAGTCTTATCTGTGCTACTTCTTGTTGTTATTGTTGCTGCGCTTGTTCTGTAGCCGCCGACGGCTGTGTACGATGACTACGACGACGACAGCGACGACTGTGGCCGCCAAGCGACTGACCGACCTACGTCGAAGGCGGGGACGGCGGTACATACGATTAACACCATTGCGTGAGCATATCTAATAATCTGCACTCATCTCATCGCACGCCGCATACCAGCATTAATTATCATCGCCGTAAACGTTGCCCCGCCCGGGGGACACAGCAACGATGAGCAGATACAGCGCCTCATTCCCGCCCCCCCCCCACTCCACAACATATCGACGCATTTGCACAAGGCAGGGTGTCTGCAATATGCAGAGCTGCAGGCGCCTACTCAGCGACGGCCGTGCAGTTGCGTCGTTTGAAAGTGCACTAAAAATGATAAAAACTGAGTGGACTTTGATGATGAATGAAAATGATGAAAACCATGCCCACTTTTGGGGTCGCAGGGTAAACTAAGTAAAATTTTACCTCAGAATGCCAATTAGAGGAACGTAAAGCCAGTTGAACAACCCCGAACAGTTGCGCTACTTGAAACGTCAGCTAACAAATATTCTCGAAACGCTTCATAATAATGACAACTTGGAATGTCTGAACACTAGGTTAAGATTAACGTATTCAAGAACAGTTTTTTACATGGGTGACTTTTAACATTACGTAAGTGCTTTAAAACTGTACTCAGCAACAGCAAGAGCATGACTTCTGAATCAGGGCCTGAGCTGCACCAATTTTAAATCTGAAGATCATCAACCGTCACCTACTTGTGAATTCGTTTTGACAGTCACTTTTCCAGGTCTGTCTTTCTGGTGGTTCGCATTTAAGCAATAAGATCAAGGGAGTCATTTCGTACGATATTTAACTTGGTAGAAATTAGCTTTTGAAATCATACGTCCTTAAAGCAGAATCAATCCGTTTAGCACAAAATCACATGATATGTCTCTGCAAGTGAAAGCGCATGAAGATTGCGTAACAAGAGGGCGATCATACAGAATCTTCCTCGCCCTTTGATTCTGCCATGATTTTGTTCCATTCGTCTCTTCTCCACGGTGCTTACTGAAGCATGGCGTGGGAAGTCCCTTGCATCACGTCAAAAGTATCAACTTCCAACGTTCACAGCTAATTTTCTTCACCTGTTCACGTGCACAAAAGCAGGTAGAACAGTTCGACTAATCACAAATGACAATCGTGCGCGAAGTGCGTTGTTGCTTCCGCTTATCGCATTATATCTGAACTAATTATGAGTATGGACGACGACGTAAGTGCGTGCGTTTCCGCTATGAGAGCGATCTGATTTTCTCACCGTATGACAGCACTTATAGCAATCATTTCAAGCCGGAAATTTTTTGATTGCTTCAAAATGAAAATGTACAGTAAGAAGCTTTTTGTATAGTACGGTTGGCATACCTGACAACGCTGGCAAAATTTTCTAAAAAGGCGTTGTAGTATATATAAACGGCTGGAACTAAGCATAGTAATTCTGTACTCTGTGACAGATATCAGTACATTGAGAAGAGATTACCTGCGACGCTCCCGTTACCGAAAAGGCATTATTGAACATGAAAGAAATATGCATCCCATGACTCATCATTTTGATATTTATTGTGTGAGAACAGAGGAAGTGAGTAACAATGTAGAGTATGTCCAGTCATGAACCCTGAAACGGTCAGCTGACGAATCTTTATAATGCCTAAAATGAGCTTTGTCTAGAGAAAGATTGGATCTTGCGTTCACGTATTAGTCACCAGGAAAACGCTTGAAAATATTCGTTAATGTAGCGCTTCCTCTCTGAACAGATGGTGGATCTGGTAAAACAAGCACAATAGATGGCACAAGGATGTCGAGGACGTAACTTTCATTGTGGCAGAGATGGTCAAAATTTGGGAAACATGCCAAACTTGAAGTTTTACATTACATCGTCATCTATCTCAATGGACAAAGCGCGTAGAGGAAAAATTTTTAACCCTCCCGATGTCGTCTTCTCTTAAATGTTCATAATGAATATCATCTGTGAAGTCCTTCTATTCATAGACGTGGCATCCGTTTCCATGCCATCAGTCAGAAACGTTGCATCATAAGGGCGAAGACATGCTCCAGGATGCCGTGTAGACATCTGTTTCTCTTTCCGTAAAGTGATAATCGTTTATCGACCAAGGAAGAATGATATTCAACTGACCTGACGTTGGTTGCACTCGTAATTTTCGACTGTCAGTCTGCCGTTTCACCGACTAAGCAACCTCATATTAAAATATGAGGATGGTTATGGCTAAATGACATGCGGATAGATCACTAAAATACCAGCAGCAAATCCATAAAATTACATCCTAGAAATGTGGAAGAAAACGTACGCAATACAGTCGGTAACACTTCACGTCATATTTAAACACACTCTATTTCAGTTCACCCCTATTAGCAGTTCTTATTCAGAAAGTTCATCAGTGAAGAATGTCAACATTTGAGTGGCGTGTACAATGGATTACTTCTGAGGCCAGTGATATGCATTAAATATTTCACTACTTCAGATATATTGCAAGAGTTTGTTCAAATGATTAAATTAGATCCTAGTTTCCTTTCGCTTTTTACTTACCTCTTACTTCTATACCGTCGTCAATTTCTCTCATAATTACAAGCATCAGTTGTCAGCAAATTACCATTTTATAAATATTTTGAAATCAACTTTACTGCCCTATTGCAACAACGTCGTATCATCCGTTTGGCATGCTGCTTTCAGTAGGTTTGAAGTTGAAATTAGCTTATTAGGAGCAGTTCTTTACTGTATTTGGATGCGCATCATTCAAAGTAGAAAAAAAAACAGCTGTAGCAGAGAATGTTTGCCTTCAAGACCATTTCTTATGATCAAAATATATGACCAGTTTCTTCGTCCCGTATTTGCCTATGACTAGATGAATTACCTCATGATCTGGAAGAGTTAGCTATTTTGTGCAACTTGGCTGAAAAATGATAGCTGATACGTTCCTATAGATAAACTTTCTCCCAAAAATAGAACCCTTCCCTCTGCACATCTCGGTTTTATATCAAACGTAGTTCACAAACAAAATACCTATGGCCTATGGATAAATGAACAAACGATAGCACCGCTGTTAGGGGGCACCTGTCACAAATGGTGGCTTTTGTAATTTCACCGGTAAAGGTATCAAATCTATCCATAATACGGAATTTCTACCGGTTTGATTATATGTGGAAAAGTTGGAAGTTGGACGACTCTTGGAAAGTCGGAAACTAAATTCGAGGTTTTATAAAACCTGTATTATTATATATGGCGAACTGGAAAATCATTATAAAACTGGAATAACTAA